TCTTAAAATAATATTGAAACTTATAATTTAACTTTATTTTTTCAAAAAAGTTGGAATCTGATCTTTAATTAACATAATAAAACTAAAATATTTTATATTATGCCGATAAATATCACTAAATTAATGATGAAATGCACTCACTCTCCAATTGTACGGTAGTTATTTTTGACCATTTTATGGCTGGTTGCGTTGTAAACAAACTCAGAATATTTTTTTAAAGCTATAATCACTGCGCAAGTAATTGCGTAATTTTTTATTATGATGATTAAATACCATATATTTTTATTTTAATAGTTTAAGAAAAAAAAAACCCTTGTAAAATATTAATTAATTAACTTTTTTATACATCGGTTAACTAATTGGTGACCGGTCAACAACTGGTGCATTTACCCTATTTTAATTTTCAAATTTTTTTTCTTTTTTAATTTGAAAGTTTGAACTTCTGACCAAAAAAAAAAAAAAAAACGCTGGGAACATAAAAAAATAAAAATTGAAAGTCAATAATTTCTCGGTTTTTATTAATTTTTCATTTTTATGGCCAGAAATTTAATTTTTGAAGCGGAAAGTTAAAATATATGAATACAATTTCTTTATCCACGCTCGTTAAACTAAAAAATTTTTTTTTTCAAAGCCAATAGGATATTTATCCAAAAAAATGCATTTATTTTATTTTTCCTACAAATTTATATGTTATACACATTTTCAAGTTAATTAGAGAAAAAAAAAATTCTATACGTTTTTTTGGTATTAATAATGCGATGTTTACAAAGAAATAAATCTTTATGAATGAAATAAATCTCCGACTGATAATTAAAAAATTTTTTTCAACAAATAAATTATAATACTAAAGTTAGCGACATTTATGAATTTTTTCACTTATTAAATTATAATTAACAAAAACTTTCTAAAAATTGCACTTAAAATTTTTAAAATTTCTACAAACAGATTTTTATTTTTTTGTAATAATTTTTTCATTAAAATAAAAATCCTCAAAATTTTTCTATGTCGGCTAATTGAATTTTCTTAAAAAGAATTTTTTTTCTGAATTTTCAAAAAATATTTTTTATTAAAAATTATCAGTTGCCATAAAAATTTCCACTTCCATCCGTCCATACCTTTCTCAAAATTACTCAAACGTAAAATCATCTAAATGAATTTTCATATGCCTGATCAACCCTTTTTTCCAGCGAGATTTAAAAGAACAGAAATCACAGCCAAAAGGTTTACCTTTGATATGAACAACCATATGTCTATCCAAAGCCCCTTTTTCGCGAAATTGCTTCAAACAAACCTTGCAAGTGTGAGGTTTTTCTTCAGTGTGAATCAAAGTGTGTTTAGTTAACGAACACTTATGTCTGAATTGCGCAGAACAAACCTCACATTGGTAGGGTTTTTCTCCTGTATGAATAAGCATGTGGGTTTTGTACACATGCTTTAAATGAAACGTCGCAGGACAAAAATTGCAAGGATAAGGTTTTTCTTCAGTATGAGCTAGTTTGTGTCTGTTTAACAGACTCCTTACGTGGAACTTCGCAGGACAAATTTCGCAAGCGTAGGGTTGTTCTCCAGAGTGGATTCGCTTGTGAATCTTGATTTGACCGCGTTCCCGAAAGCTTCGTAAACAAACATCGCAAGAAAAAGGTTTTTCATCGAAGTGGATACTAAGATGTCTTTTTAAACTAACTTTCTGGCGGAATTTTCTGGAACAGATATCGCATGTGTAGGGCTTTTCTTCCATGTGGGTGCTCAGGTGAGATTGTAACTGTTGTTTCAGTCGGAATTTCCAGGAACACATATGGCAAGCGTAAGGTTTCTCTTCTGAATGCGTTAGCACGTGTCGCTTCAAAGAACTATTTTGATTGAATCTCGAGGAACATAGTTTGCATCCAAAAGGCTTTTCGCCGGTATGGACTAGTTTGTGTTGATTGAAATTTCCTTTTCGATGGAATTGCGCGGAACATACTTCACATGTATAAACTTTCGCCGGTTCAATTTGTAAAGTGCTTCTTGCAACTTTCTTTGATTCTGAGTTGATACTTTTTGGATTTAATTTTTTAGTCTTCTTTTTTGTGTTACTGGTTTTTGGTGAAGATTTTGGACTTCGCTCGGATCTTGTACGTTTTGCTGTTGAAGTTTCAGGTAAGGTGGTGTTGGTTTTTACGGCGTCGGGCTCTTCAGTAGAAATTGAAATGTTTGAATTTTCATCATCGGTATCTTCAGGTTCTTCTTTGATAAATTCTGGAAGTTATTAAATTTTTAATGGTTGTGAAAAATATTTTATTTAGAAGTTTTTATCAGTAGGTTGTTTTAGAAGATTGATAATTGATTAATACCGCGGTTCACACACTGATAAAAAAAATAATTTGACTCAAGAGCCAAAATCTTGAACCAAGAATATCATTTTGATGAAAATAATTTTCCCCTGATTAAAAAAATAGTATTGAGACAAAGAAAAAAATATTTAAAAGAATTAGATTGACTAGAAAACCAATTCTTTACAATAATTTTTTCTTTGTCTCAATACTTTTTTTTAATCAGGGTCTTGAGTCAAGAGAATAAATTCTTGAGACAAGAAAAATTTAATTAAATCAAGAATGGTATTCTGGGTTCAATATTTTGGCTCTTGAGTCAAGTTAATTTTTTTATCAGTGCAATAATTGACACATAAAAATTTTATAATACATGTTTTTTTTTTTTTAGTTTCATTTTAAAAATGTTAATTTTTTTTTAAGAAAAAAAAAAGTTTGAATAATTAAAGAATAAAAAAATTGATAATTTATAAAAAGTTTATTTTTTATGAAAATTAAATTAGTTGATTTCGGAAAATTTCTTTAATTTTTTTTATTGAAAAAAAATTGACATGTAGAAAATTTGAAAAATTCCAAGTGAAATTTTTTATTAATTTAAAAAATCAAAAATTGTAAAATGTCTGCTAATTTTAGTATCATTAATTTTTAAATTTTTTATGTCAAAAAAATCAAGCGAAGTAAAAGTAAACAATTACTAAAAAAATTAAACAATAAAATTATTGAATATTTAATTAATTAATAATACTGAAATCAAGAAACATCTGAAAATTTTTTAGACTTTTATAATAATTTAATTTATTATAAAAAAAAATATTTTTAGTTTTTTAATTTTTAAAAGTCAAATTTTTTCATAAATTAAAAAAATATTCTGTTAGTCAATTTTAGTATCGTAATTAATTATTTTTTTCTAATAATAATATTTTAACCATACCAGCTGGTACAACAGTAATTTCCTCAGTAATTATTGAATTATTGCCAAGTTCCTCTTTCTTCATAAAATCTACAGATTGACATAAATAAGATCCTTGACAATCATTTTCATCAATTTGAAATTCCTAAAAAATATAAAAATTAAGATAAAATTTCTATTTTTTTTAAATAATATTTAAATTATCTATACATAATTTATAAAAAAAAATTTGTCTTTACAAAACATAACCTTCACCTCAATTTCAATTTTGAAAATCCTTTCCTCGCAAAGAACATCATTAACCTCCATATTTATTATTTACATTAATTCATCAAGTACATATATATAAATGAAATGAAACAATTTCAATAATCTGCTTCCAAGTATCTCAGATTGTTTTAAAATCTACTCACAAATTACGATTGACAATTGAAATTTGCTCTCATTTTTGAGGTATAAAATATTATTACGAACATGTGGCGCTCCACGTTTGATTTGAAACGTCTAATCGGAGTTATTAAAAAATTATTTAAAATTAGAAATCTATAAATTTTTGATAAATAAAAATCATTTTTTTAAATGATATTAAATTTAGCTGTCACTTGACAATTTTTTAATTTTTTTAACAAATCAATTTGTTCTAAAAAATTATTTTTAAAAAATTGCATTTTTAGTTTGTTAAAATTTCTACATATGTCAATTTTTTTTTATAATGTTTGTTGTCAAAATTTATTTGATTCAAAAATTCTTAAATTTATCAACTATCCGCTAAATTAATTTTCATATTAGATGAATAATTAAATTATAAGTATATTTTATGACATTAAAGTTAGCAGTCACTTAAATATTTTTTAATTTTATTTAACAAAAAAATTTGTTCTAAAAAAATTACATTTTAAATTTTTAATGTCAATTTATTTGTTACAAAAATTCTAAAAATTATTAAATATATAAAAAATTAATTTTCATATATATTTTAATTTTAAGTATATATTTATAGAATTTTGTATATTGAAATTAAAAGACATCCGTCAATTTTTTGGATTTTTATAGATAACTAAATTATTATTAAAAAATCTCAACCTCCAGAAAGTAAAAAAAAAATTATAAATTTTTTTTTATAAGTAATTTTTTATAAAAATCAAAAAAACTGTCAGATGTCTGCTGATTTCAATAATTAACAATAAGTATAATTTTTTTCTTAAAAATTAACAATATAATTTTTTATCTTAAATATAAAAAATATAACTTGATGAAAAATATTTTATAGTACATTTAAATTTAGGTATTAATTCTTTGATTACAAAAGAAAAAACAAATCAAAGAATAAGTTTCTTTACCTATTAGTCTTAATATTAAGAAAAAAAAAAAAAATAATAAAAATTTACAAAAAAATTCATGTTCAAAAAAAAAAATAAAAAAATTTCTCTTAATATATCATAAAATTATCTCACTTTAAATGTTATTTAATTAAAGATGAAAATTCGCAGAAGTTAATCTCTGAAAGGTCAATAAAACTTATAAAGTTACTTTAAGTATTTTTCCTTCGTAAACTATTTTTGTAAAAAAAAAAAAAATTGTTGGACTAGCATCACAAGCAAGAGATGTTTTTTTTTCTGAATAAATGTTCATGCGTCGATTAAAATTACGCTTATAACTTTAGCTTGAGAAATAAAAATTACAAATGCCTACGCGTGTGAGATTCGACCTCACTTCTAGAACCAAATTTACAGGAACAAATATTGCACACGTAATAGTTATTTTTCCAGCGAATTTTCGTAGGTTTTCTTCTGTTTTCTTCCAAATCAAAAAAAAAAAATAATTAACATTAATTACATTTAACAAGAATATTATAGTATAAGTACCAGGAACTTGGACGGGAAAAAAGTTCAGTGCTAGATCAAATTATCAAAAATATAACTTAAAAAATGACACTGAAGTTAGCAGACGTCTAAAAATTTTTGATTTTTTTTATTAATTAAATTACAACTAAAAAGATATTTCTAAAAAATTTCACTTATAGTTTTTCAAGTTTTTTAGATGTGAAATTTTTTTTTTAATTTAAAAGTTTTGAAATGTCGATTAACTCTTCATTTTCATCTTAAAAAAAATTAAAAATCTTACATTTAAATGTTGAATAATATTTTGATTTCATTTGTACAGTTTGCATGATGAAATTATGAAATGCAACATTTAAAAATCTAGCACTGAATTTTTTTCCGTCCAAGTTCCTGATATACTATTATATTTAACATCATGGATGAGAACTTAAATTTTAATTTAACAAGAATAATATATTTTTTCTATAGTAATTTATTAATACCTATCAACAAATATCGAATACTTTCAATTTTAGTCCTATTAAAAATTTTCTCAAAAGACTCAATTGCTGCTGCTGAAGGCTCAGGTTCAGGCATTGCAATTCTGTGGAGCAAAACTACTGGGTTTAAATTCATAAACCCAAAATTCTTCTTTTTGACTGTTGATGCTTGATATCTAGTATTATACTTTTTCTTCTCTCTAATCTCACTTTCTTGTAAAAATTGATGACCACCATTCATATTCTCAATTTTATAATTATTAATATTATTACTTAAATTATGATGATCATCATCAAACTCTTTTTTTTTTTATAAAATGGATTAACTACATAATTGTAAACTTTACTTTTTAGAAAATTAAAATCTTTCACATTTTGTACACCTAAAATTAAAAACATAAATATTTTTAGAAGAATACAATTTATATTGAAGATTTGATAAGCTTCAATAGAATAATTTTAATGATGTTAAAATTAGCAGACATTTGACAATTTATGGAACTTTTATAACCAATTAATTATTATAAAAAACATATTTTTAAAAATTCGCACTAATAATTGTTTGAAATTTCTACATGTGGAATTTTTTTACTAAATTTTTTTTTTATTGTAATTTAATTGTTAAAAATCTAAAAAATTGTGAGATGTCTCTTAAATTCACTGTCATTAATTTATGACATTAAAGTTAGTTGTCACTTGACCATTTTTTAATTTTATTTAACAAAAAAATTTGTTCCAAAAAATTTTTTTTTAAAAATTGCATTTTTAATTTTATTAAATTTTTACATGTCAATTTTTTTTCTCATTTTTTTTGCTAAAATTTATTATTTAAAAATAAAATTCTTAAAATTATCAAATATCTGCTAAATTAATTTTCATCATTAATTTTATAAAAAAAAACTTCTTCAATATTATATCGTATCAATAATGTCTATAATACACTATTTTTGTTAATTTACATTCATTGTAATGTATTTTGGAGGGCCGCAAGGAACATGGCCTTAAAACAATAAATAATAATAATAATTATGAAGAGTATTGCCGAGCAATATCTTCAACAGTCAAATTTTTTGATTTCTTTCTTCTTATTTCTTCTTCTTCTTCATAATCCTAAAAAAAAAAAAATTAATTAATTAAAAAAAAATTAACAATGTCATATTTTGTTATTTGATTGTTATTTTTTAATTCAAAAAAATATATTATTGAAACATAATCTTCTTACCTCGTGAATTTCTTTAAATTTGCGCTTTAATTTTTCTAACATATTAATATTCATTTTTTTTAAATAAAAGTCTCCTAATATTGAGTAATAAAATCACGTAATTATAAAAAAAGTATTTTTCATAAATCCTAACTTATAGATTTTTTTTTTTGGATTCGCTCCAATTTACAATTATTTATTAAGGTTATGAAAGCGAATATATAATTAGTATACTCGGTGACATTTTTAAGTATTAAAATGTACATTTTATTCATTAACTAACGAGACTTAAAAATTAATTATTAAAAATTAAATATTGAATATTAACAATTCAAGTTCCTTAAATTAAATATCAATTTTTTTTTATATTACGATCTTAGTGATCTAGACGAGTATGTATGTATGTGAATATATATCTCACAATTTTGAAAAGAAAAATTTTTAAAAATAAAATATCTACTAAATTATATATTAATTCTTAAGTATAGTTTTGATTATAAATTATAAATTTGATATAAAATTCAGCATCAACTTCTTGATGAAATATCAGTTGATCATTATTGAGTTATCTATTGATAACGTCGTCACGTCCTCGAAGTCTTCGCATAAGTATCATATCACGCTGCATTAATGTTATCCTTTTGCTGTGGTATGCCAAGAGAATTGAGTCTTCGAAAAATTGCACCAGGTACATTTCTGTAGCTTCTTGCAGCGCTTCAAGCGCTGTTACTTGCATTCTGTAAGATATTATTTTTAAATTAAAAAAATTTGTAATAAAAGTAAATTTTGGTATTGAATAATTAATAAATAAATTATAGTAAAATTGAGATACATCTGATAATTTTTTGGTAAATATTTAAAAGTGGCATCCACTATTTTAATTTTCAGTTTTTTGAACAAAATTTCTATTTGATTTTATTGATAAATTTTTTTTTTTTTTAAATACATAAAAAATAGACAATTAAAAAAGAAAGTTGATTATCTTTTTTTTTTTTTAAATACATAAAAAAATGAACAATTAAAAAAAGAAGTTGATTATCACAATTTTAACAAATTAAAAAAAAAATTGATAAATTTTTTAGAAAATTATAATAATCAATTTTTTTTATTGTTCGTTTTTTTTATGTACTTTTCAAAAAAAATATATCAACATTAAAAAAAATAAAATAGAAATTTTATCCAAAAACATGAGAGCCAAAATTTTTTCCGACTTTTGAAGGGAAAAAAATCTATCGAAATTTTTATTTTTTTCTTTTACGACATTTTTTATTATAAATAAAAAAATTTGGAAATATTAATTTTTCACCTGATTATGGCCCAAAATGGGATTGACCCCAGTTGTAAATAATTACCAATTTTTTTATGAAAATTAAGTTAGCCGACATTTGAAAATTTTTAGAATTTTTTTTTATTGAAAAATTTATTACAAAAAAATTTTTTAAAAAATGTCACTTGTAAAAAACCTCAAAAACTGTAGGTGAAATTTTTTAAAAATATTTTTCTGTTTTAATTTAATTATTAAAAAAAAAATCAAATAATTAAAAATGTCGGCTAACTTTAGTACCATATTTTTTTAATAAATAAATTATTAGCAAGAAAAATTAATTTTAAATATTCTATTTTTAGAAGCTCTAAAAAATTGAAAATGCAATTTTTTAAAAATAATTTTTTAGACCTAGTTTATTATTAAAAAAAAAATCGTCAAGTGTCTGCTGATGTCAGTGTTATAATAATAATCCATAGTTAATTAAATAGTCTATTAAAGTATTAAAAATAATTAAATGTATACCTGAAAATTTCTGATCTTGGAAAAAGTTCATGCATTATTTCACGAACAAGCCTTGAAAATGGGAGTTTAGGTATTATTAATTTTGTTGTTTTTCGTAAAAATCTTATTTCTTGAAGTGCTATTACTCCAGATTTTACTCGATTGTTTCTTCCAGCAACATTAGCCTGTAAGAAAAAATCACTAATTAATAAATGAAATTTAAAAAAAATAAAAAAGTTATTTAACCGATGCTATTTTTTTTTATTCTTAGCTTAGAAAAATAAATATAATAATTAAACTATTCAATTTTACATTATTTTAAAAAATGTTTGTAAAAAAATACTCTAAAAATAATTAATGTAAATTTTAGCACCACAAAAATTTTATGACATTAAAGTTAGTAGTCATTTTACAATTTTTTTTTAACAAATTTTCTCCAAAAAATTATTTTCAAGAAATTTCATTTTTTATTTTTTTAAATTTCTAGATGTTGATTTTTTTTGCTCCAATTTATTTATTAAAATTATCAAATATCTGCTAAATTAATATTCATAAAATTTTTTTAAATAATATACAAAATTTTTAAAGGTCTGTTTCTTATATTTTACACTTACTCTGCCAGTTTTTTGTCCACCTTTTGATCCCGAGGCTGGTCTTGATCTAAAATAAAAAATTAAAAATAAAATTATTTATTTACAATTTTTTTAGAAAAAAAAAAAAAAATTATTTTATACTTTTTATGAACTTAAAAAATATTTTTTAATTATTTGCAACTGAATTTAAAAGACATGCTCCAAAAAAATAGACCCATGACCGGAAAAATAAATAATAATAATTTTATAACCTACAAACCTTGTAGGGCTGGATTTTCTGCGCACCATAATAAAGTCGGATAAAAAACTTGCTTGTAACAAAAAATTATCAAATTATTTAAAACAGAGTCCAGGTAAAAAAACTTTCAGTCGTTTATAAACAAAAATAAATTGTAAATAAAGCGAAATCATAACCAAAATAAAAAAATAAACATGAACAACAAAAGCCAACCGCCAAAAATTTTTCAAAGTCAGCACGCTATCTAGCGGCGAGTTTTAAAAGTATTTTCTCAATTGGTAAGATAAATTTCTACGGACACTACGATATATAATTTACTTTTAAGGTTATAATTTTGTTATTGCTACACGCAATTTTTTTTTCTTGAGCAGTCAGTAATAAACAAAAGTTAAACATGCCAGAAAATTTAAATAACAAATTGTTTTATAACACTGTTTTATGCCAGACATTTTCACCGTCTGGAAAACACTTGGTAGCTGGAAATATTTATGGCGATATATCAGTATTTGAGTAAGTATTTTTATTTATTTATTATTATTAAGTTTTAATAATTATTTGTTACAAAAAAAAATTATTAATAATTTATTTTGAGAGAAGAATTTTAAAAATTATTTAAAACTCTAAAGCGCATTTTAAAATGACATTTTAATCAGCTGATTTCTCATTATTTTTTTTTAATTAAATTAATTTATTAAATTAGAACAAATTAATATTGTTAAAAAATTAAACTCAGTTTTTTTATAAGTGGAATTTTTTTAAAAATAAAAAATCCAAAAATTTGCATAATACTAAAGTTAGCCGACGTTTTTAATTTTTTTTTTTGTTTTTTTCATTTATTAAATTATAACTAAAAAATATTTTTTTTAAATTGCATGTGTAGTTTTTTTAATTTTTTACAAATGAATTTTATTTGTAATAATTTTTTCAATAAAAAAAATTTTTTTTTATTTATCAATTGATATATTTTTGATTAAACAATCAACAAAATTTTTAATTTCAGTTTATCAAAATCATTGAGTCCAGTAAGCGACGAAAATGACTTACCAGGACCTTCATATAAATTCACGGCGTATCCAGGTCAACATGTCCAAGCGATGCTGAGTACTGATGATTTTTTGGTGACCGGAACAGCTGGAGAAATTTCTGGCTGGGACTGGAATGTTGTTACTTCCAGTAAAGCTTCTAAGATAAAAGTATCTTGGACTGTGCAGATTCCTGCTGACAAGTAATTTTTATAAATTTTATTATTTATTTATTTATTAGAAAATAAATCTACGCAAATTGGCTACAAAAATTTTTTTAAGCAAATAAGGTAAAAGACCCAATTATTGACACTTGAAATTTTATTTTAATTAAAAAAATAAACTGTACTCAAAAAACCAATTATTCTAAAATTTATAATTAAAAAATGTGAAAAACAATTTCAGATAATAGTTAAAAAAAATCCAGATTATACTGCGTGATATCTGGATTATACTCATTGTAATCTAAATTAAAATAAATAAAAGTATTCAACCGATCTTTTACCTTAACTATAAATGTAATTATTAAAAAAATTTTCACATGTGGAAATTTATAAAAAATTACCAATAGAATTAAAAAAAATTTATTTATAAATTATTAAACATTATAAAATTTCAAATAAAATCCTGGTTGCGTATTGTTCTTTAAATTGTTTGCTAATCAGATGATAATCTTAATAATAATTATTAAATCATTAATTAATGAATTTTACTTTCAGAGACAGCTCAGAAAAGTCAGATGTTAATTACATTGTTTATTCAAATGATAAACACTACTTGTACGCTGGCTGCGGTGACAAGAAAATTTATGTTATTAATTTGGACAATGGAAAGATTGTTAAGACTTTAGAAGGTCATGAGAACTTTATTCATTGTCTTGCACTCATGTAAGTTTATCTTTATTATTTATTCAAATAATAAATTAATAATTAATATCTTTCATTTGAATTTTACATTTTATCCGGGTTGATGAGTTTAGATATATAGATAACATTTTTATTTCTAAATAATTTATTCCAAATTATTATTTATTTATTCATAGCCATAGTATTTTTTATTTTTTGACTTGTTAATTTTTTCTACAAAGAAAAATTTTCTATTTTAATTTCTTTAATTATTTTGTTTTAAATAAAATAAAAAATTGGTAATTATTTTTAAGGTCTAAAATTTTTAACTCGTAAAAATAATACTTAAAATTTTTTTAAGAATTACAATTTTTTACTAAGGTAAATGTCCCAATTATTGACAGGGGTCTAAATATTGACACCCTAAAATTATTTTTAAATATATTTAATTATCTGTAATAAGAATAACCATCATATAAATTTTTATTAAATTCTAATTAATTAAAAAATTGGAAAAAAATTACTCAGTTCAAAATATTAAATATTAATTATTAAAAAAAAAATAAAATCACTAGATCAAACCTTACGAGCGTCTATTTTCTTAACAACTTTGGTTAGAAAAGCATTTTTTTAAATGCCGAATTTAAATTAATTTCTTCATCTAATTATATGATCTTTTTTTTTTTTTAATTAACAATAAATGAAAAATTTATAAAATTGAATAATCGAAATTAATTGTATGCTTTATAATATTTAAATAATGGGTATCAATAACTAGTTGATAATTTTTAAGTTGAATCTCATATTGACAGCCATTCGACAGCGCTATCACGCCTTTTTTTGACTTTAATCTAAAAAATTTACTGTAAGAGTTTGAACTCTTTTGATTCAATAAATTATTTTTAAATTAATTTTTATATTTTTAATAGTAATTAATCATTTATGGAAATTATTATTAATAAACTTTAATAATATTGATTACTTAATAATAAGTTTCGATAAATAAGAATAAGCAGATGATTCTAGACATGCGCAGTATAGGTGTCAATAATTGGGGCTAAGGTATGTCAATAATTAGATCAATCAGTTTTTTAACCTGTAAATAATTGGTGTATCCGGATAATCTATTTAGTTATTTAAAATTAATTAGTAAATATCAGTGATTATCATTTTAAAAAAAGAAATCGATTAGTAAAAACATTACTTGAGACATTACCACAAACAAAATTCAACGATATTGATATTTGATTGCTTAAAAAAAATCAAATCATAACTTTGTCTCTTATAGTCTCAATAATTTGGACTTTTATTCTATTTATTTATTTATTTATTTATTCTATAAATAAATAAATAATTAATTACTTGAATAAAAATAGATCAATTATTTACTATTCAGGATTTAATTAGCCAATAAAAGCTAAAAATCTTGAATTTAAAAACTAGAATAAGAGGTAGAAGTTTAATAGGATGAATTTAAATGATCAGGAACAACCAATTGGCGAGTGGAAGTGAAGATGGATCAGTACGTCTCTGGGATTTACGAACATACGAGAATACGAGTATATTGAAGCCGCATTTAGTCGACAAGGTCGCGAGACCCAAGCTCGGAAAGTGGATTGGCGCCGTAGACTTCACCGAAGACTGGCTGGTAATAAAAAATATTAAAAAAAAAAAAAAAAAAAAAAAATGCTTATTATAATAAAAATCTCCCAGAGTATAACAATACGTTGACAGTCACTTTTATTTTTTAGCTCTGCGGAGGCGGCCCGAACCTTTCACTCTGGCACCTTCGCACCATGGAGCCAGCGACTGTTTTCGACCTGCCAGATCAGGGAATTCATGAGGCTAAAATTTTCGAGGAACGAGTCATTGCAGGCGGTACGATGCCCCACGTCTACCATCTGAATTACCAGGGAGAGATTTTTGCAGAAGTTCCCACTTCTAGCCACACTGTTTACAGTATTGTTTATCAGGAAAAACCTCACAAGGTACTTAGTATTGCGGGGTCTAGCAACAAAGTTGATATTTGTACTAACTTTAATTATCGGGAATTAGTATTTAAGTTCGCTTGATTGTAAATAAAATTTTACTTTTGTATTTTTTATTATCAAGAGCTTTTTTTAGATTTATTCAATGTAATTTATAAAATATTTACTAATTCTGGTAAAGTTCTCCTTAAGCTCAAGGTCATAGAAAAATTGGTAAGCTTTTGTCTTGAAGGTGTCAATTCTAAGTTCATTGATGACGTCAGGTGGTAATTCTTGCCAAAGGCGTATTGATGAAATTAGGAATAAATGTTCGTAGAAGGCAGTTGAAAAATTGGGAATTTTAAATGTGATATTGTTATATTTGGCAGCCACTTTCTCGGAACGTCTAATATCTGGTAATTCTTCATGATACTAAAGTTAGCCGACGTTCAAAAATTCTTCTATTTTTTTTAACAATTAAATTGCGAGTAAAAAAATACTTAAAAAAAATTGTACGTATAATTTTTCAAATTTTCTACATGTGAAATTTTTTCTTTTAATTTTATCGTAACAATTTTTTCAATAAAAATAATTATAAAAATTTTTAGATGTCGGCTAATTTAATTTTCATAATTCTTCGACAAATAAGCTTCTGAGGAAATTAGGTTCGCCAGAGCTGAAAAGTTTATACAAAAAACAAGCCAAGAAGTAATGTAAAAGACCCAGTTATTGACACTGGCCCAGTTGTTAGACACTTGCAATTTTATTCTAATTAAAAAAATTAAATGTTCTCAAAATAATAATTTTCTTAAAATTTATAATTCAAAAATTATATTTTTAGAGTTAATTTGTTTTTTTTAATTAAAATAAATTTGCAAGTGTCAATAACTGGGTCTTTTACCTAAATACCACTTCAGCAAAAAAATATTTTTATTATTAATTTTTTAGAAAATTAAAAATAAATGAAAAATTTACTAAATTTTTAAGAAATTAATAATGAGAAAAAAAAATATTGTTTAATTTTATAAAAAAAAAATTAATAACAATATTTTTAATGAAAATACCATTACTACCTAACATTCCATCATAAATTAATTTTAGTACTCAAAACAAACCCTAGATGTCGCTCTTTACCCCTTTCAGATGTCTAACGCTCAATACCGTTCCAGTTTTAATTTTCTTTTTTAATTTATTATTAAATTATAATATTTAAAATTCTGATTTTTTTCTTAAATTTCTTCTTTTCAAAAACACCAACTTATTGTAAAATACATTAGATAATTTAAAAATGTTCTTCAAAAGTTATTCCACTTACAAAATTTCTTCTTCAATTGAGGTTATTCAACCAAAACAACTTTTCAAAATTTGCCTAACTGCAATTAGGCTTAAAACAACCTTAAACATAATTGCTCATAAACAATATTCATACTAGTAAGCGTTTATCCTATTGTAGTACTCCGTAAAGAGTTTAGAGATGATTTAACTCGGTAAATCAGTGAAAATTTTTGAACCGCTCGTAAAACACATTACAGGCGTTCACGCTTGAGGTGTGCAATATTTCAACAAATAATTTTCTACAGCCGTTTAAAATATTTAAATTTATAATTTTAAAGCAGTTCTTACATAAACTATTTTATAATTTTACTGTTTTGCACTCTTGAGTAAATTTGACCTAACCTTAAAATAAAAACCTGAAATTTATTAATTGTAAACAAAAAAAATATTTAAATAGTAATTTTTTAATTATCGAAATTTTATTATTTAAAAATTACTTACATTTTTTGTCCGTGAAATTTCTATAAATAATTTTTTTTCTTCTTCAACATAACCTTCAAAATTTTTATCTAAAAATTTTTAAAGAAGAAATAAAAACAATTAATTATTTTTGAGATATTATAATTAATTAGAATAATTATATTATACTTGATAAATAATTTTTTTCTTCTTTCATGTAACCTTAAAATTTTTTATCTAAAATTTTTATAAAGAAGAAATAAAAATAATTAATTATTTTTGGGACATTAATATTAAATCAAATAGATTATTAAAATTAGTGAAGATATAAATAAAAATTAAATCTATTTTTTTCCATGAAATTTCTGTAAATAATTTTTTTTCTTCTTCTAAATAATCTCACAATTCTTTTAAGAAGAAATATAAATAATTAATTATTTTTGGGATATTAATTAATTAAAATAATTATATTATACTTGATAAATAATTTTTTTCTTCTTTGACATAAAAATTTTTATCTAAAATTTTTTAAAGAAGAAATAAAAACAATTGAAATTCTTATAAATAATTTTTTTCTTCTTTCACATAAGCTTCAAAATTTTTACCTGAAATTTTTTTAAAGAAGAAATAAAAATAATGAATTATTTTTAGGATATTAATTAGAATAATTATATTAAACATGATAGATTATAAAGATTTATGAAGAAATGAAATTAACATAAACCCAGATTAGTAAAAGTGTCATCGTGAAGAAATGAATAAAAAAAAATAAATCTATAAAATATCGACTAGTATATGCTTACGTCATCAAATGAGAATGGATGTTGATGTTAAAACTCGTTGAAGAAGCCTATTCGTTGTAGGTATAGTCTTCCTGAAAAAAACTTGACGTCCTTAGAGGCCGCTGGAGCGCTAAATTGCCACCCTAATTCAACGTCTTGCTTCTCCTGGCATCAAGGTATAAAGGCTCGGAGTAAGGCATTCTTTCTTAACCGTAGAGTAGACCGAGTAACAACAATATATATAAATATATATGAAGCTAAGGGGAAGAACTGCCTCTTAACCGTCCAGCAGTCAAGGTCAAACTTGCAATTCACTGAATTATTAGAAAATACTTTAAACTTTTATTCCCAAGATTTCTTGAAGCGAATCAAGTAAATTGCTCAGCTTAAACTTTAAGTATCATATCCGAGGGATTGCTTTTATAAAGTTAATAGCGGTTTAAATAAACCCGATCAACCCGACAGAGACAATTGTATCGGGTTCCAACCTCATAATGAGCCTTTCTTGTGACCAAAAACGTTCAGGTGAGTCATTATTACCTGTCAATTTTATTTTAATATTGTTATTATCTATATTATTAAGAGAATAAGAAAATTTTTATGTCCAGGATAGTCATATGCTAAAATCGGTTTTTTTTAGTAAAATTTAGTGTCATTGCAAAGGTCTTGATTTGGATTTGGGCCTTTTCAAGGTTTCATATTATTCTCACCAATAGTCAATTTATGATGATAAGTATTTAGGCTGCATTCAAAAATGCTTTATCTCCAGATACATAATTAAGAAAAGACCTTGTAGCTCGTGAACTATTGACATTTTTAAAGATATAAGCTCATCCCGATGTTACACTCATCGAGAGCTTTCATTTGAGTACCCACATCAATTTTTCATATATTTCATATATTTATATATATTATATATATGTATATATGAAAAATATATAAAAAATGCATGTGGGTACTCAAATGAAAGCTTTTGATGAGTGTAACACCAGGATGAGCTAATATCTTTAAAAATGTCAATAGTTAAGAATGTACAGTGCAATTTAACATAATTGAGAAACAACCTTGTATCTTGTAAACTATTGACATTTTTAAAGATATAAGCTCATCCCGATGTTACGCTCATCAAGACCTGTCATTTAAGTACCCACATCAATTTTTCATATACTTCATATATTTATATATATCATATATATGTA